AGGAGGAAGATCATGTCCTCCCCTTTGTCCAAGGAGCTCCGCCAGAAGTACAATGTGAGGTCTATGCCCATCCGCAAAGATGACGAAGTCCAGGTACCAGAAGCACCACAATTATGGTGGCCGTATCATTTATATAAAGTATTGCTGTAATGTTTTTTTTCTTCTTGATAACAGGTTGTCCGTGGACACTACAAAGGCCAGCAGATTGGCAAAGTCGTGCAGGTCTACAGAAAAAAGTATGTCATCTACATTGAGCGTGTCCAGAGGGAGAAGGCCAATGGTACCACAGTGCATGTCGGCATCCACCCCAGCAAAGTGAGTATAGAATCGAGCTGTGTGAAGTGAGTCAAGGTTTTTTTGTTTTTTTACTGACATTGTTTTTATGTTCATCTTAAACTAAGATCAGTCGTAACTTTTGTACGCAAGAAGATAAATGTGAAAAAAATTTGTCAACTGACTGCATACCGATATGTCCTTTTATAATATTAACGACTAGTGTAAGGAACACTGCAGAGTTGTAAAAGTTTGCTGACTCAAGTGAAAATTGTTTTCAAAAATCTTCATTTCAATTGATTAAACTTGCTGCTTAGGATTTTTTTTATGCATACAATGCCCTTTAAATTTAGAAACTTGCTTTGGCAGGCTGGTGTTTTTTGATAATTTTGAAGGGGACATGTGATTCTGTCCAGCCTGACTCTCGCCAAACCCTTGTAGTTCTGCTATGTTCCACCAGAGGAAAAATCGCATGGCGCCGGAAAAATGGCGCCGTGGCAAGAGCTCTGGTGTGTGTCGTCTGGCGCACACCGGGGTAGTCTTGCACAGTTTTTCCAATGTGGTTTTACTGCAAATGGCAAATAAATGAATCTGAATCTGAATCAGAGGCGTTTTGCTGAGCTCCACCACAAGCGTCTGGGATTGAGGCCATTGCAAACTCTTTCAAGATAGCAAAAATAATGAACCAATCAAGATCGCCAGTGTAACGACTGTTTGTGCAGCCTCTTCGAAATCTACTGTTTATAATGTAATGAGAGCGGGCATAGGCGCGTCTCACCGCAGCCAAAGCAAACAAAGATGGCGGACTGAAGGTCTGAATTGTTTTAAAAAGTTTATATCCGAACGAATGAAGAGACTGTCACTGTTAATGCAATTTGAGGCCCAGGTGGTTTATCCAATCACAAGTTGTTGTTTTTTTTGTTTTTTTTTACAAGGCCCCGCCTTCTGAAGTACATCTATTGAGAAATTCTAGACCCACCTGTTTAGATTGAAGAGCTACTTATTTTAAACAGAAATGGCAGAGATAAATATATTAAACGAATATATTAAAAACCTCTTGGCAAAGTGGAGATCGTTGAAAACTTAGTTTATGCATTTTCGTGTAGACAGAGATAACCGCTGAGTTTTGAGTTTTCGCACACCGCAGTATGCTCCAAAACATGCGACCTCTGATCACTGAAGAAGCATGGATATTACTGCCTTCTAAACTGTTTGCTGCTGCGAGCGGTTCGCTCCACATCAGAGAGCAGCAAAGCGGTCACGAGGACTTGTGCTCAAAAACAAGCAAAAAAGCAGCTAAAACGGGACTAAATGAGGGCTGAGGACGGGGGTCAGTGCTTGTAAACATGGCTTTACCCCGAGTTTCTTCTGTCACTTAGTGCCGCTACAGAAGTACCAGCGTTGGCATCAAAGCTCCGCCCACTTCTGTGTTTTTCTCCAGCGCAGGACGTCAGAGGATGCACATGTTTGAATGTTATGTGATTTGAAAATAGGCCTGTTGCGATATTCAATAAATCAATAAATCTCATGATAATTAACATTAGCTCAATAGTTTTCTTGGCCGCGATGAATTCAATTTGCGTGCTTGTTTGTTTTCCCGTCTCTCTCTCCCTCTCGGGTCAGAGAGCCACAAAGTGGTCACGCATGATGCGACTGAAATAACTCAAATACAAAATACAGCCAAAACAGGACCTAAACCACGACCAGGATTGACAACGGGGGACACAGTAGTTGTTCTCATTCAGGCTCTAGTAGTGACTAAACTAGTGCAATTAGCTTTTGCGTGTTCACCAATGCGGAAGTATCGTTTAATAATAAAATAAACTTATGGCGCACCTCCGTGAACACATACTACTGTTATATGAAGGTCTCTGGACAAAGACGCTGCAGAGCTGCATTATTGGCAAGAACTTTATATAAAAAGCCGCTAGCTTCCGTTAGCATAAACGTCGCAACTTCTAGCGGTGGTCTTTAAAAATGAAAGTACATTTCTCTTTGAAAAGGTGTACCTGCATCATTATCATTGTATTAGATGAAAATGATCTCGGAACGACAATACTATTGCCTATCGTAATAATTTGAGACAATTCATCGTCCAGCAAAATGTGTAATTGTGACAGGCCCATTTGAAAACGCAGATGTTCTGTTATGTGTGGATGCAAAATATTTTATAAACGGAGGGGGGGAATATTCAGTTTAAAAAAATACCCGGCTATGTGTGGACATGACCTAGAAACTATATAAACGATGCTTTTTTAGTTTTGTTTTTGACGTGTGGTGCTCTTCACGTCTCCTGCTGGCTCTGTTACATGTGATGGGCAGTTAATGCACATGCAGTGAGGCAAGGGCCTCACTGCATGTGCAAGATTTGAGATGAGCTAGATCCCTCCAAACTAAGTGTTAGTTCTGCACTAAGCTCCACTGACTTTGCCATGTTTGCTCCCTGCATTTTCCTGGTGTTTTGTGTTGCCTTCAGATGGGGATGTTTGAATTGGATGGAGAGTCCAAACCTGTGCTCAAGGGCTGCTGTGGCTGCAGGTTTTCTATCAGACCAAGCAGGACTCTACCCATTCCTTCAAATCTTCAGACTGGGCTTAATTGAGGATATCGGTGGCGTCTGCTCTGTTCCTGCTTGGTCTGATAGAAAACCTGCAGCCACAGCATTAATTTCTGGACCAGTTTGGGACACTCCTGTTTTACAGTCTTAAGTCAATACATTTTTGTGAGGACAAATCACACAACTCATTAATGCTATGTTGATCAGAATTCTGACCATATTTATATCTGCAAGAAGCACTATTCTTCCACTGGTGCATGCAGTGACACAAACAAAATGGTCACAATGAGCGTGGCGGTTTTTGACATTAGAATATTGGCAAATTAGTGGAAGCAACTCCAGGGAAAAAAAAAAAAAGACCCCATCCATCCATCCATCCATTTTCTACCCTTTAATCCATTTCTGGGTCAGGGGGGTGGCAATCAGAGATGCCACCCAAGTCTCATAGCACCAGCCCCTCACTGACCCTCTGCAGGTGGTGAGTCCACAGGAGGACGGCTGCTCTCTGAGTGTGAGCATAGCCTTGATCTTTCAAGGCCTTTCATAGCCTTGATCTTTCAAAAAAAGACCCCAATGTGATTTAATAAGCTTCGGGTTCCCCCGAGACCCAGAAAGCACTGGCTGAATCTGTTTCAGATGAAGGGAATTAGTTTTTTCTATGCCGTACACATTTTTTTTTTTTTTTTTTTCCTCAACCTCCCAGTGTAGTTCAGCCTCATAAATGGTGGAAAATATGGTTACATGAATTTGATCTTAAACAGTTTAAGTTCTGGTTCCCAAACCACACAGCTCTGGATAATGATTGTGCTAGTTTTATCAGTGTTTTTTCCCCTTTAAGATATGGGGGAATGTTCCTATGATTTAATTTCCCCACTTTCATTAAAGGCCACACACTTGGTTTGAGTCAGATATTTACAACTGTGACATGTGTGTATTTGGTCATTGGATTCTGTGTTTGGTGATTTATACACTACTGCAAAAGCCAGGAAGCAATATAAAACATACTTGAGTTAAATGTAAACATTGCAGTAAAGGTTTAACGACGCTAATTTGTGGGAAAAGCAGAAAAGGTAAACTACTCTAAAGACCTGTAGTAACCTTTTTTGAGGGCAATAGATTGGAAAATTGGCATCAAAACTGACTTAACTGTCGACTTTGCTTTATTCCCTCATCTCCAGGTTGTGATCACCAGGCTAAAACTTGACAAGGACCGCAAGAAGATCCTGGAGCGCAAGGCCAAGTCTCGTGCTGATGGAAAGGAGAAGGGCAAATACAAGGAGGAGACTATTGAGAAAATGCAGGAGTGAAAATGTTTTCAATAAAATCTTTAAATTGACCATGTTTGTTGTTTATGGGTTAATCCTTGAATTGTGATCAAATTGAGTGGACTGTATGTGTAGATGTACTTGTCGACTCAAACGTGGGTGATCACATTTGTTTAAGAGTCTTAATTTGTATGTACTTGAGCCAGTAATTTGTTTGGGATATTTAATACGTGCTGAGTGGACTAGAATATTAGTGAAGTGTTTATAAATGTACTGATACATATTACATACAAATACTGCTATACAAATGGGTTGAGTTTAGGCAGGGGTCGTTTCAGGAGTTGAATCGTATATGGTGCAAATTTTCACTATAAAAGAATGCACAGATGCTGGGATACACACGTAACATTAATGCTATGCTGAACTTTGACCAGGAGAGTTTTGATTGTACATTTTTGCTCCTCAAAGGTTCGCCATGGTTTTATGTTCTATACATTATGACAAAGTCATCACTCCATAAAGGTTCCCATGGCTATGGCTCACGGACGTCCAATCGAGACTGCAGTGACTGTTGTGCCCAACAGGTGTCACCGTTCCACCATAACTTGTGTAAATAAACCCATAATCAAATTGTACTTAAATACCGTGTTACCATACTCGGATAATCTAGTATTTGCCTCGAACAACCGAATATGCTCAATGTTTGTTTCATCCATACATTTTCCGTCGGAGAGAATGAGCACCTCTACTTCCTCTCCCGCAGGTCATGTGATACGTGCTGCCTGGTCGTAGTGAAGCGGTGGTGTGCGCTGAAGTTGGGTTTAAAGTTTCTATCTTGAAGTTTTGTTCACTTTTATACAATTGTGAACATGGCAGAGTTAAGTTTTGTCATTTCCATGTCCGTAATGACCCTGTTTTGGGGCTTTGTCGGAGGAGTAGTGCCGTGGTTTATCCCCAAAGGACCAAACCGTGGGTGAGTGTGTTAGCCTTCACTAGCTTTCACATGCTAAAATAATACAGTTACAGCTTAAGATGCTCTGTCACTTTTTGTCTGGTTGATGAGAAATTAATGTATCGGTAAAACAATTTTAAAGGTTTGACATAGCCAGGATATAAAAAAAAAAGTATGTACATATATAAATTACATACTACAGCATTGAATAAACGTAAATTATATTATACAGTTTAATTAACTATGAGTAAGACTATAGTTAACTCACAAATTGTATTTTTTTTCTCTGCAGGGTTATTGTTACAATGCTGGTGCTAACTGCAGTCTGCTGCTATTTGTTGTAAGTATTTAGTTACTATTTGGTAACTGGATCCTATAGTTTGTTGTGGTAATTGCTATTTAACTTGTCATCACACCTTTTTGATAATCTAGAGGATCCCAAACTTTTCTGTCCAAAACAATTGGTTATTTATTCGACTCTCAAAACATGTCACGTTCAGCCTGGCCAGCCTGACGCAGGATAATGTCACAGTTGCTTGTTTGATTTGTGTATTGTAAGTGGTCCCTTGAACTATTCTTTTCATTCATTTAAATATAATCAAATTCAATATCATTCCATTTAAAGATTATCATGTGACCCCGGCCCCTACTTTGCAAACCACTTATTGCTGCTGTATGCCTAAAGATATATAGGAGGATTTTCTACTTCCGAGTGGAATACTATTGTCAATCATTCTCTTGTCAATAAGACCATAGTTTTGTTCAAAAAGTGGAGAGGGCGGTTCTTTCCTAAAATTTGGGGAAATCCTTCTATATACCTTTTTTAAGTGGTTCATTTGTCATGCAAAAGTCACATACTTTCTATTATTTGGTTTGATTTGGACGTTCGGTTATGATTTTTCTGTATGTTTTGTTTGCAGCTGGCTGATTGCAATTTTGGCTCAACTAAATCCACTTTTTGGACCGGCTTTGCGCACTGATATTATCACCTATCTCTATTATCGCTGGCCTTAATATACACTCAGCAGAGAAGTATGCTGTCATAATTTTATATGTAAATAGTTTATATGTTTTAATGTGTATAATTATATATGTTATATATTAACAAACCTTTCTTTTTCCAACAGTGTGGAGAGATTGCGGAAAATGATTGTATCATTCCAACTGTGCCGCTTAAACATGGGTTTGCTTGTGGTGTTATGAAACCGAGTTTATCTCTGAGGCCCCGTTTTAGCAAAAATGCTTTGATTCAACTTTTCACATGCTGTGTATGAGTTTGTTTGTGGTTACTGTTTATAATTTATAAGTGACTTTTCTGTGTTATTTAGCTACGCATTATCTGTCAAATTATTTTTTGTGGATGTTTGTAAAAGAAATAAACAATGAAAATAAATGGTGTTTGAAATTTGTTTAGATCAGTTTAGATCCGTGGTATGCAGTCATTCGTCAAAACCTATGTAAGCGCGGTTTCAACATTCGCTTTGGCTCGTCTCGCTTCCCGTAGCTGTAGTTGAATACGTTGACAACATGGCGTCCTCAGATGTCCACGTCCGAATATGTGAACAAGAAATACTCAAATATGACTTGGAAATCAAGGCTTTTATCCAGGTGCGGTGTGTTCTTCGGTAAGATTAAATGATGTGGGTTGATAATGCCACGGTGTTGATAACTGTCATTAAGAAACCAATTTGTTTTGTCAGAGAATCCTCTAAGCTAAAGCTCCTGTGAGGCTAAGTGTACGCTTATTTTCTATTTCAGCGAGCTTGATCCAAATACATATCAAATAAAAAATATGAGCCGTGCTTCCTGTGTATTCACTAGTTCTAATGCTTGCTTACTATTGCTTAATTGTTTTTTTCAGGATATTACCAATTGTGACGGACCTCACGCAAGGCTGGCAGAACTCAATACAGACGTGAAAAAAAGTTTTCACAATCTCAGAATGCGCATTCATGTAATATACATGTCTACTTTATCCATGGTGTGTTTTAAGAATACACTGTAATAAGCTAATGTTGTGACAGGACCTTGAGCAGATGGCCATGGAGCAGGACAAGGAGTCGGACAAACGGGCCTTAATAACTCAGGTCGAGGGGCACAGAAAGCAGATGCTGAGGTGAGGCCTTGTTTTGTCTTTTCACCCGTGCCACTGCTGTAGTATCCATATTTGATAGTTTTCTGAATGTGTTTTGTAGTAACCAAACAACTTGGAGGAAAGCCAACCTCGCTAGTAAACTGTCCATTGACCATATGGAAAAACAAGCTCTACTTAGCGGGGGAGATAGTGCTGTGAGGCAGAGGTGAGTGGTGTGATTTGGAGTTGAACTGTTGACTTGTCTAAATACTTAAAATCTGTTCAAATAGTAATAGTAATAGTATATATTTTTTATTTTTTGCTTTAATAGAAAATTAACCAAAGAAGGCATGGCCCAGACAACAAGCAGCATCACAGAGAATCTCATGAGCATAAGCCGTATGATGGCACAGCAGGTTCAACAAAGTGAAGAGACTGTGACCACTCTTGGTAAATTTATTTAAATAAAAGTGTTTCACTAGGTATTTTGGAAGTGCTAAATTAGTTTTTTTGGTTTTTTTACCCAAAGCAACCTCTTCAAAGACCGTTCAGGAGACGAATGAGGAATTTAAAACAATGACAGGAACAATTCAGTTGGGGAGGAAACTCATCACAAAGTACAACCGTCGTGAGCTCACTGACAAACTGCTCATCTTCTTGGCTCTGGCCCTTTTTCTAGCTACAGTGCTCTACATCCTTAAGAAGCGGCTTTTCCCTTTCATTTAGACCAGGTATTATGGAGACGCGTGTCATATCGTTTCTCAACATGCTAAAATCGTTGAACATCTATATACTTTTAAGTTAACTTAATTTTTGTTTGTACTATTTATGGTTGTAACCGCATCCTTTACTCTATAGTGATGCTGAGCATTGCAGAATGATGTTTAACCACTATTTTGAATCACTGTTTAGAATATAAATAATATAAGTAAATGTGTATTGTACTTACTGTATCATACCTTGATGGTTTTCCAGCAAGTATTTTAGCAAGACTATGGCATCAACATCAATGTATAACATTTTAAAGCATTCTAAAATGTTGAACTGTAAATTTAAAATATTAAAATGAAACCTAAAGCCTTACTCCACAAACACGCATATGGTTTTGCCTTCACTCAGCTGCTAACCAGTGGCCTGTGGCACAAATAGAGCCACATGTCCCTGCCTTTCTTCAGATAAGTCCCGGAAAAGCAGATTATTCTGACCAGTTTCCCGCCTCCGCTCCATCACAGAGAGAAGATATTTTTAGATTTGTATGGCTTTGTTATCTGACGTTGCCTTTTCAACACCTCAGAGGAGAGGGTGGCCAGAGGAGCTACATGACCTTGCTCTTCACATTACAACTGCATGCCAGGCAATGCCATTATTTAAATATATTACATTTAATAAAATAAAACAGGCAATTTAATTTTTCAATGAACTATCAGAACAATTAGATTTTGTGGCATAATTTTAGTTTGTCAACATATTGTTTTATTTTTGATATTTTATAATGTTGCTTGAGTAGAAGACAAGTGTCACTGGAGAGATGCCTAAGAATCTCTTACTCGTTTAAAGTGGAGGCTGTTGGGCACGGCCCGTTTGTATAACTGTGCACTTGTACTAGGCCTCTTGTTCAGCAAATTGCACTATTCTTTCATTTGACACAGTGGCAGCGTTATGAGGGTTTGCACAATGTTGCCTTTGAGGATTTACATCATAGATGCAGGGAAATAAGTGATTTTTTAGTTTGATAAATTACATGGAATTAACCTATTCCAAAGCCAACATTTTTTGTATAGCATTTTTATATTATTGTTATTGTTGTTATTTTTTTCCAAGGTCATGTCTGTCGGTTCTGTCCTGGACTGAGATCTTTACAGTTTCTAACAGAAGGTCGTAAAAACGTGTAAACTCTGGACAACCTTTCACCCTGTTTAAGCTGACTGAAGGATGTTCCATAATGACCACTTGAGTCAACTGCAAACATGACTTTTTACATAAAGATAGCTTGATAAAACCATTCTGTGGTATTACCAAATTATCAATACTGGAAGAGCCCAACTTCCTCTTTGTTCGATAATTTGACACAAACAAAATTATACAAATATTACAGATTTGCACGTCACTCAGTTTCAGAAGAGCATTTTATATTATGACATGCAGTATATGCGTATTTGATCAGATAAATCTGTATCCAAGCAAAGCCTAGCCTGAATGAAAAAAAACATTTCACAAAAGTTTGTTATTTGAATAAATTCAAATGGAATAAAAAGCTACAATACAATGTACTACATTTGTTCAGTGCCACAAACCGGTAAAAGCGTGAAAGCCAAACGGAATTAAATAATAAAGTGTATAAGGCCTCGTGGGTGGACACTTTTCCAAACGCATGCAGTTGTCTGTAAGTGCGTCCCTTCACCACGTCCTGATGCCGTGCAGAGAGGAGACTGCCCCGGAGGAGAAGCTCTGAACCGGTGTAAGCTCTCCAAAGTTCACGTATCCGCTGCTGGATGTGCTCTGCACAGTCTGCGAGCTGGAGGCAGGATAGTTGCAGGCGTAGTTCGTGTTGCAGCCGGGGCTCGTGTAGTTGCTAAAAGTGGGGTAGTTGTTGTAGGGAAAGTAGGACGGGTTATAGGCCGCAGAGTCCGCAGCGAGACAGGGTTTTCCATCGCGCACCAGCACCGGGACAGAGACCCTCCGTGGCGGGGGCAGAGACACCATCTCCAGGCTTTGGTCCTGCCTCTGTCTCTTACACTTGTAGCGGCGGTTCTGGAACCAGATCTTGACCTGTGTGGGGGTGAGCTTGAGCACTCCGGCCAGGTGGTCCCTCTCTGGAGCGGACAGGTAGCGCTGTTGTCTGAAGCGGCGCTCCAGCTCATGCACCTGAGCCTGTGAGAAGAGCACCCGGGGCTTTCTGCGCCTGCGGGTTTTCAGGGGCCGCTCGTGCTCCTCTGGCTTCAGGACGTCCGAGGGGTCTGCGAACTCCTCTGCGCGGATAAACCAACATAATACGTCATTAAACAAATGTAGGGATAGTTGTTTAATTATGCATCTTTAAGTCTTATCAATGTGATTTCCAAAGACGGAAACGCATATGTAGGAAAAAAGTGACCTTTTTCTTGAAGCCTATATGCTAATATGAGGAGGCATCCATCCCCTTGTAACACATTTGTATTAATTTAGAGGTTAATAAAAATAAAAATATAATCTTGTAATATTTATTTCTTGACCCACAATATTTAGGACGGTCTTAAATATTGTATAAAAGCCAAACACAAAAAATCAAGGTTATTCTCGCGTTTTAGAGAATGGATAATGATTAACTAATATTTTTTTTTTTTTTATTGAAGCATATAATTCTAGAAGTTGTGTCCCGTAGGTCTTTCCTATATTTCCCTCTTATATTTTATTATTATAATATTATTATTTTTACCCCTTAATGTTAATGAACAGTTTGTGCTAATATGTCAGATTATAGCAAACGTGCTTTAGTGTCCATCTGCCCGTGATTTTCTTTAATCTTTAATAATACAGCGTTGCTGCATGTATTATATTAATGTGTAATCCTCCTTATACTTTGGTGTTTGTTTTTTTAACTTATGTGAACTAGTTTCTGGTAATCAAATTTGTTTCGGTTGGCTTAACGAACCTTTTGTCAGTTTGTCTTCATACGCGTCCGGGGTCACGTCCTTCTCCAGATCCATGTCCAGGACAGATTTGCCATAAAAGGCCGGAGTATAGTTGAGCACAGGGGCTCCTCTGCAGCTGCTTCCTTTGGCATCGCTGACTCCGTCCCCAAACAGCGCCATGTCCCGCAGAGACTCGTGCTTCAGCTGGGCCTGCATCATGCACGAGGATGAGGAGGGCGAGGAAGAAGAGGAAGATGCGGCGCACGCGTCCAGATGAGACGCCAGGACGCAGTGGGCCTGCTCCAGGTTTAGAATGTCCTTCACGGAGAAGGGGGTGGACATGCTGGAGCTGGGGAACATGGCATATGGACTCATTGAAGACTACACGTATATCCAACGACCCTCTGGCTCCAGCTCGTGTTTACGCGCTCAAGTAGAAGTTTGGTCAGCAGCCTGCCTGGCTCTAATGTGCATTTTGAATGTCAACTCTGGCTCCAAACTTTGGCCTCCCACTGCTGACGTAGACAGGAGGAGGGTACGCAGGGACCTAGGCAAGTGCGCGCTCTCGTACCATGCACACTTATATGTGCATGGTACTTTCTTTTTATATATATATAGGCTAAATAATCAGGTTGTTTCCAAGCCCATGTAGCCGAAGCACTTTACACATGTTATTATATTTGATTGTTGCACACTTAAACAATGTTTTTGCAGTTTTGGAGAAAGATATAAGTTTAGTACATTGATGAAAAAAATTTCCTTGAAATTCATATGTCAACAAAACATATTACTACTTCATCATAACTCTTGACTGTGATTCCGATAGTGACATGGGGCTCAACTCGTGCTTTTACAAAGTTATTTCTGCTCTAAAAAGTTATGCTTTTTCTTTATACTAAAACACATTCTAACTTTACACATATTCTTCTCACTGGGTGTTATTAGCAGACACCAATTGCTTGGTGCCAGTTCCCAACTGAGGAATTGATTTATCAGTAAACCGTTCTTGGAGGAAACCCCAACATAAGTAAGTAAAGTAAGAGCAAAATCTTCTCTTTTGTGGGCATGTAAATGTTTTATTATAGTGAGAGGACATATTTGCACTGTTGCCATATCCTCATCACATAAACATGTTTGCACATTTGTGAGTCATAGCATGTGGGCGGATGTTTAAATGTTCTGATCCAAACACTCATAAATAAATCTGCATGGTGTGAGGAGCCGGACATCACGTCCTGAGCTGGAGGATGATGATTTTGGTTGAACACCATTTAACAGGGGTTAATAAGACTGATAACCCCTGTCTTGTGTGTGTGTGCATGGGATGGGGGTCTGTCTGTGCCCCATCCGAGAGGAAACAGAGACAACAGGTTGGACAAGGAACCTGAAACCAGCAGAACACAGTGTGTGTGTCTGAGAGGGAGGCTGTGGAGCCACTGTCTGTCTTATCAGAGTGTGATAACAGACGGACACACCACACACACCGCTGAGGCCTACTTAAAGTGTCAGATGTGACACTTGGATCTCCATTTAAGATAAGCCTTTCCATAATGATCAGTTTAACACAATATTCCTTATTTCTCACCAGATTGTAATATTGGATGTAATCTTGAGTTTTCAATAATGTCACATTGTTGTCTCACAATAAAATATGTGGGTTTCATTTATTGTATAGCCTAAACCCAAATGTTCTGCACAGGCAGGTTGTTTTTTTAAAATTTAATTTATTATAAGAGATCTCCTTTAGTGCTCCACGTGGCTTTAAACTTCAGCATTAATGCTAGTGGAGCCATTCACGAGAGACAGACAGTATTATCGTTTGTTTTATCTTGTGCGTTTAGCGCTGCCACGGGCTAAATGGCTCACTCTGTCTCCACGCCGCCGACGGCGTGTTTATAGTTTTAAATGCTTTTTGTGCGCCTCGAGAACTGATGAATGGCCGCGGAGGCTTCTCGGGAGCAGCGAGAGTCAACAATGGATCTAGTCCTGTTAATACATGAGGAAATAAAGTACACAAGACACAGGGAAATGTCTCAACTTTGACTGATATCATCTGGTCTGTGTTAATGATGAGAATTGGCACAATTTCTATGGCGCGTAAAAGTTGGAGATGGGTACCTGCAGGATATAAGACCAAGTCTACTTGAAAACGGACAATAGCTTAATTTATTGTCTGACTGTAAATTGAAGATGACAGCTCCGGCATGTGGTTCCTGTCCTAATGTGGGCCCGTCGCAGCCTGCGCCCCTTTGACCTGTCTTTCTGCAGCACATCTTCAGCGCAGATAAAGCTGCAGATAAAGTTGCTTAAAAACTTCCGCTGCTGGGACCGCGTGCTGGTTTATTTTGAGGCTCTCGTGTCACCGCCGCCGCGTCTCTGCGTGTGCGCGTGCGCGCCTTGGTGTGGCCCCGAACAAGTGTTTGTCGTGTCTGAAGGTGAGTGCTTCATTTATATTGCTCTGGTGCTGTTTTTATGCTAAATAGATTGTCCAAGCCATTTACCATAAACAAGGTGTATTAAAATGGAGTAAGTACAACCAATATATTGGTATAAATGTTTGTTTTAACTATACAGAAATACAAAAAGTTCATTATTGTTCAACTTTATTGTATTTATATACATGTTTCCTGTAGCATGAACACAATCAGCGGTGACTTTGCTTACGTTTTTCAACTGTGTCATAGTTTTAAATATACTCTTGCTGCCAGTGTTTGTGTGTATATATATATATATATATATATATATATATATATATATATATATATATATATATATATATATATATAAAATATATGGCTGATTGCCAAATCAATGTATTTCAGTATTTTCTTGATGTTAGTGGATCAAATGGATAGTAATTCAATAACTTTAATAATTTGAATCGTAAAGAAGGATTATTGTCTCACTATGGATGGCCCTTAAAGGTCAACACATTGGATTCGTGTGAACTTGAGTTCTCTAGCAACACTCCACAATATAGAAATCCACTCTGAGGTAGACGGATGTGCAGTGCGCTGTGCGCTGTGATAATGACTCAATATAATTTTTTTTTTTTGTTAAACTAAAAATTTGGTTTCATTTGGGCCAAAGGGAAAAAAAAACGTTTTTGAGTTTTCCAGTTTCAAATCCGTTGGTATGAAGATTACCAGCATGGATAACATCTCTGAAGGTAATGTTAATGTTGAAGGGTACAGGTTTTGGAGCAACATTTGCTGTCATCCATATCAAGTCTCTTGCCGGGGCTTCCTTATGTCGTTTAGCAAGACCATGCATGCCAAGCCATTTGCAGAAAGGATTTCAACAGTGTGACTTTAAAGTCTCCTTTTGATGCATGCGACAGACGAGACCCTGAACCTTTGAGCTACTCAAGATATATATAATGGAAGAACGGTACAGAATTCCATCTACAAGCTTCAACTTTTGGTGCCTCCGTTCCCAGATGTTTAATGAGTTCTTGTTGAAAAAAAAGTTTTATAGTTAAATATGCCGTGTCCAAACTCTTTGTTTTTATTTTTCAACATGTTTCAGTTGTCAAGGTTATTCATGAGTTAGTATTTGCATATTTGCAGAAGACCTCAAACTGAGGATCGTCACCAGTGAGGATAAATGATACAATACCTCATATATATGATATACCTCGTATATCCTGGCCTATTGGCCTGTGGTCTATTCTGGAAGGAGTGTTCATCAGTGTGTAAAACCATATCTGTGGAGATGTAAATGTGTTGATACACGCAGGCAGTATTCCACACACGGAACTGATTTCATTGCCGCTTGATGCACCCTGGCAATAATAAAACAAATGGTATGTTCTTGCCATGCCTGATGCAGAGATAACTATCTACAAACCATTTATCCTGTAGCTAATAAAAGCTATAGAGAAAGTTATGGCAGAACAACTGGTGGAACATCTAGATACAAACCAACTGTTGCATCCGCAGCAGTTTGGCTTCAGACAGAAATACAGCACAGAAACTGCCAACTGTTCTGTTAACAGATAAAAGTTTCATTGGACAAAGGCAATGTTGTGGGTGCTGTGTTCTAAGACCTGAAGAAGGCCTTCGACACAGTGAACCATTGAATCTTGTTACATAAATTACAACAATTTCAAATGTCATCGGCAGCTCTGTTGTGGTTTTAGTCCTACCTTGAGGTTACAGTGTGTGAAGGTTCGGGCCGTTAAATCTAATCTATGTCCAAATGATTTGGGTGTGCCTCAAGGCTCAATTCTAGGTCCGCTGCTGTTTTCCATTTATATCAATGACCTACCAGACTGCTGCCAGGATGTAAACTGTCAGCTCTATGCTGACGACACAGTCATTCATGTGTCAGCTAAAACATCAGCTCTGGCTGGGCAGCAGTTAGCACAGGCCCTACACAACATCTCAATATGACTATAGTACAGTCCCATCTAACATTAAATCTAAAGAAAACATTTGTTTTTATATCAACAAGAGGTCTCTAAATAGTGTTTTTGAGGTTAGTCTTAACGATGAAGTCATTAAGGAGGTGGATGAAACTAAATATGTGGGTGCTTATCTTGGCATGTTTGTAAGAAGGTCAAATCCAATCTTAACTGTTTTCGTTCAGAAGAGAGTTACCACACCATGCTGCTGTGTTATATATGCACGCAATGGTCTTTTCACATCTGTCCTTTTGTGTCACAGCATGGTCTCAAACATCAGCTTCCATTCTCAAACCAGTAACCTTTCTGTATAAACAGACAATTAAGATCATGGACAAGAAATCAATGAGATGGCATCACTGTGACATCATACAAGCAAAAACTCTTTACTTTCAACAACTTTGTAAATTTCTCAATTTTAAAATTGGCTTTTAAATGTCTGAACAACTGTGTGTCACCTCTCTTCTCTGGGCTCTGGCTGAAACGCCACTCTACTCTCAGAGCCTCCACCAGAGCCTCATGGGGACTGTGTGCTTCCAAAGCTCAGAACATCTTTTGGACAGTCTAGCTTCTCCTTTAGAGGGGTTAAAGACAGACTTATTTTTCATGTGTAAATTATATAGTCATTATTTTTTTATGTATGCTTTCTTCTGTAATGTAAAAAACCTTTGTGGACTAATGTTGAAAATTAGCACCTTACACTTACAGCAATGCATCTGGTTCATCCAACGTTATTGTTATATCCATATTAAATAAATAAAAAAAATATAAAAAAAAAACATTGTTGTGTGATAAAAAATGTTGGCGTACATTATCAGGGTTGCAAGTTCAATTTCTTTGCACATGGAGTTTGCCTTTCTCTTTCTGCATGGGTTTCTTCCGGGCACCACTCAGAAACACACACCATAGATATTAATGTTACCTGCACTGAAGCGACCTCTGCTGACAGGTTGCCATATGGCGACATTGA